TATTTGATTCGTTCCCCGATCCTACAGATACGAGATGAAGATAAAGAATGGTCATATACAAACACAGAACAACAACAAAGGAACTATAACATCTCCATCTCATTAATAAGTCGAGATCTAAACAAGGCTCCATCATTATCAGAAAGTACTTAAATTACAGAAGAAGAAAGTATCTGACAAAATTTTCGTGTTACTGAGTAAGAGTGACATCATCATGACATTGATCGCTGCCATGAAGAGTAGTATGCAGGAATGATAAATGAACGTAGACAACGATGTATGTGAAGGACAACGTGAAATAGATGGAAATAAAAGCAAGTTGATGCTCTGGTAATCATAATTTATCACCGCCGTCTCGCTTGAGAGTTTTCCCTAAGATAACGGCTTTAAGATGTGCCCATTCAGAATATTTGATAAAGTTTCCAAGGCTAATGGGTGTATTGAAATTGTATGTTTTGTTTTCAGTATTTTGACGAAGAAAGCTTTTCTTCTCTTCCTAATAATGAATTTTTTAGAGACTTTCTTTGCTGATGGATCGTCTAGATTTTGAATACGCAGGTCCAAATTATAAATATAAGGAATTTCTATTGTCTAATTTTTAATTGCAATCTCAGTTTTCTATATTGTTATAGTAGGTATTCATAGTTATATAGCACAGTAAAAAACTTTTTACAAGCCTACTCCAGCTCAACTTGTTAAATGTCAGCAACTCATTTGAAACAAGGTCGCTTTGTGTTTGGTCTGATAAAATTTGATCCAACACAGAGATTGCTAATGAAAATACTTTCGAATCAAAATCGGTTTAAAATTATTACAAAACGTTTATTAAATGCGAAAGGGATACCTCTAGGGAGTTTGTTGGGACCCAAATTAGCGTGAACGTTCTGAATATAAAATACGGGGTCCCAGTATTTATTAATTTCACCATTCTTGTGTTTCAAATATTTTGTGGTTTTATTACTTATGCAATAAATTACCATCAGCAAAGAGGCATGAAGGTCATAGACGTTTTCCATGATTTTGAGAACAAAATTTAAGTATTTTAAGTGTTTGATTCGTTTTGACTGATTGGATAAACGTACAGTGGAACAAAACTGCGTGAGTACTCATACAGTATGCCATATCTTTTTATGGACCAATTTGAATATATTTTATCTCCAAATTATTCAGATAATTTAGTTTTACGTGGCTTTAAACGAAATGATAATTTATGTCACCTTGTGGTTGATCGACCGACCACAAGATGACCGCAACTCCCAGAGCTATTGATGCTTTTAAATGTGTACTGTTTAGCCAATATATTAATGTATTGGCAGGCAAGCCTAAAGGGATGAAGGCAGCTATAACTTAGGCAGCAGTACAGCACTAGACGTCATGTGGCTGAATATGAAGACGATGATGTTGAGAACTACAAAATATGAGTGATATTTAAGCCATCACCAAGTAGTTATTACTAGATATTCATAAGCACACATTGTTTCTAGTAGTCTGATTTAATTACAACCTACTCAACCCATGGTATGCCGGAACGTAAATATACGCGGGACAATGCGTTTTCTATTGTCTCATAGCCGGGCAGGTAATAGGTTAATAAAAAAAGAAAGAAAATATCTATATTTGCACTGTTATAAAAAAAAAAAAATTGTTATAATAAAAGTGTACATGGCGCAAAAAAATACCCGAGTGCGATAGATCGAGTCGGGGCGTTGATTTTTAGTACTAGCCCGTTGAATAATATATACAAAAATAATAAATAAATGAGTCGATGACATTAATATCAAGCTTTAATATTTCAACCCAAAGTACACTGATGGAACTATAAATTATCTGCAATAAAAACAGGGCATGCCTCAAAATACATAAATCCCTGTTTGGTCTCCGTAATAAGGTTGACCTTGAAAAAATGAATGAATTGAAAGCCTTATTTGAATTGGCGTAGACTACACAAGGTTGCAGAGGTTAGACCAAGGTACTGAAAGTTCAGGGACCCAGACAAACTGAAGTCTACAACCTTTTTATAAACTGAAACAGTCTTCACTTTTTGAAGGGCACAATTTACACCCTTTTTACGGGTCATTAGACTTGGACTTACGTTTTCATTTATATTTCAGTATACTTCTAAAGAAAATGTACGCTGATAGTGACGTTATTTTTACTTGTTATATATTTGTACACTTTAGTGTTTGAATTTTAATTATCATGATAAAAGACGCTGAAATCTTTTTTGATGTTATCTTTTTAATAATAAAACGAAGTTTATAATCGTAGAAGGTCTTTTTAAATTCTGCGTAGTCTGTATGTATTATATAAATGTAAGTTTAAATCTATTGAGTTTTTCACCGAACTATTGAAACTTTGGTGAAAATGCAATGGGATTATTAACCGGTGATAATTATTATTATCTGACAAACGGTGAAGGAAAACACCGTGAAGAAACCTGGTTTTATTTATTCTAATTAATATAAGTTTGAAATCACCAACCCGCATTGAGCAAGCGTTGTGAATAATGCTCAAACTTTATACGCGTGAGAGAGATACCTTTGGTCAGCAGAGGGCACTTTTAAGCTATTGATGATGATGAAGTATTATCATTCCGTTAACAAGCACCTTTGAACGAACGCACTTTCTTACACGGAGAAGGAATAAGAACTGATAACCACGATTTCAAATATTTTACCCAATTACAATTTTGCCCTCTTTCACTATATTATTATGCTAATGGTGAATAACTGAACTTAGAAAGTGCATTATAGATATTGAAACATCATATTTGTACTTGTCAGGTTTCAAACCGCTCTTGCTTTTACCTCTTGACCGCCACATCACTTTGACGATAAGTAAATGTTCTAAAAGTGCTCCCCTGTAAAGGCTTTCGAGGTCATATCGCTTGGTGTTGTAATATGTATAGAGGATGCTGAAAAGTGCGTCCCAAAGGGTCAAACAGAGATATGCTTACAGAACACTCAGTTTTTGCCAGTTCTTTACATTATTTAGTCATACATTGTAAAAGTTGCCCCTCAAAATTTGGCATTCATAGGGTAGGCATACCTTTTACACTTCGTACTATTACTGAAGATTAGTAGAGTGACTGCCTCGTTGGCCGAGTGGTAGCAAGTGCGACAGCCGGGCAAGTGGTTTCGGGTTCGATTCCCGGGTAAGGCAAAGTATAACTGGGTATTTTTTAATTCTCAGTAGTAGCACGGAGTCTCAGGATTCACAACTAAATAGTGAAAAGTGGGAGTTACATTCTAAAGTGGCATTAAGTGACGTAATGGGCACCTCTGCCTTCCCTTGGGCGATAAAAAGGCTGATGATATGTTTAATAGAGTGTCTGGAGCATTAAACTTATGGAAAGTCTTTTGATGCTCGCACGAAGCAATGCAAGCACGTAGGTCTTTGGCTGCTGTAAGTGTGACAACTAGATCAAGAGGTAGGTATAAAGAAAGTAGAGTGTGAAATTAAAAGGATGATCGTTACAAATCTAAAATACATGTTTGCTTCTAATAACATAGTTTTTTATGGGATAAGCCGGTAAACCCACGAATCACCTGATGGTAAGCAATCGGCGTTGCCCATGAACGCCTGGAACTCCAAAGGCGTTACAAGTGCGTTACCAGCCTTTTGAAGATTGTTGGGGATTGAGGGATTGGGAACTTTGGGGAAGGGGAGGAGGGTGTTATTGGGCCTCCGATAACCTCACTCACACGACGAAACATGTTGTTTCACGGCGGTTTTCTGTTCAAGCCGGACACACACACGTACAGTACATACTTCTTCACCTCAGTTTTGTACTCTTGGAAGCGTCGTGACTGCTCAGGTGGTGTACGATGGTAGTACTATTGTAATTCTTTTTGATGAAAATTATAAAACTGTAGTTTACGACAGCACATCAAGTTCCACTAAGATACGGGCCCAATAGTGGTGATGACGATACAGAGCCGCGGGCTTAACGGGTTGCCGGGGCTACGGTTCGAAGCGCAGGAGTAGGAACGGTGTGGTTTTTAGTCAGTAAGAGTCTGTCACAGAGACTCGCCTCACCCGGGCGAGAGAAGTCATTACATGATTTTCTCCCCTCAAAACATAAAGTTTTCTTAATCTGTCAAATTATTCAAAATGTTTTGTATTGTAATTATTACATACGATACATGTCGTAGGTATTACAAAAGCTAAACAGTGGAAAATATACTAATCAAGAAAATCAGCGTAGGTCAGTATGACGTCATCTGTAGGTAGGTACTTAGTTATTATCTTGCGAGGTGTAAGCTAACGGATCTTAAACTGTCAAACACCAAGCGGTCACCGGTGACCGCAACCTATTGTTCTATAATTGTGTCTACAAAACCGGTACTCGACGAGTTAAGTACCTTACCTAATACTAATTAGTTGATTGATTACAACACCTCTTGAGTAGTATTAAGTGCACTTGAATACGCAGTCAGGACAATGAATATTCAATGCAGATGTATGTTGCCGGTTCTTGTCTAATACAGAAGATAATATCGAACCGATTTTACCTTAGTTCGTAGTCCAAATAAAAACCTTAGAGCTCTGCTGTCCTACTAGCGACCCTTCGACTAACGAAGCAATTCACCCGTATTTATAAAACAAGCTGACATCAGCATTTTTAGTAATAAATCTAGCGATTAGTAACCATACACCGTAACCGTCTGGTAATTATTATGGTTTCCCACTCTGTTAAATTCTTCAACCGCATGTCTCCTTCAAAAACTTTCTTCGAAACACCCCCAATCAATGAATGAAGTGCAAAAATCTCCCATAAAACCGTTTTATGACGAACATAGGGGTCATAAAGAACACATACCTAAGTAATTTTATGTAGGTAAGCATAAAACTTAACTAGGTAAGTACCTACTCAACTAAATCGATTTCAACAAACTCGACCAACAAAAAGGTTCAACAATAGAGGTTTCTATTGTAATAAAATGAAAGTAAGCTTCAATAAAAATCCCCAAAATATAAGTTACATAAAAGGAACTCACCTTTTGAAATTCTCATTTTGAAGACGCTGGCTCACTCCTCACTCAAACGGTCACAAGGATTCCATTATTACGGACTTAATCATTAATCCTACGAGAATTATTTCCAACTATATTACGCTACGAACATTCTACAATCGTTTTTAACGTCACTCATCATGACTAAACTACTCAAACTTAATTATTGAGAGAAGTAGGTATTTACATCCATAATAACAATCTCCAAGGAGTATTTATTCACACAGTATCGCTAATTAGCAAAAGAGAACCCGCTTTTGCGGTAAATGTCAAGAGAGTGCAACTGAAAACAAGGTTGGGGTGCTAGCGCGGGAAAACGTGTCAAGGTTATACTGGCATCTGAATGAGAACGCGAGGGACACTGCAATCAAAACCACCACGCGATCACGTAACCGACCTACACTTACGAACACTATTACTTATTATTTACAACGAAATTCAATAAAAATATCCTTGCAATCAGTCATTTTACAAATCCAAACACACTAACTTAACCTAAACACACAACACTATAGTCAGAATTTTAATTAGATTCCAGATTTGACAATAGCTACTGTCATTTTGTGAAATAATGATACCACATTTAATAGTGTAGTTATGAACACAAAAATCGATAAACAATCAGTGTGTGTGTTTTATAATAAATGTTACAGAAAGTGACAGGATAGCGATAGTGATAACGTCGACAATTTATAAAATAACTTATTACCATAATACACCTATCTGTTTTATTTGTCATGTTCCTTCATGATACATTTTTTTATTTATTTCACACACAGTTATAAAAGAAAAGTCTTAGATCGTTAATTAATCGTCAAAATTAAATTATCGGTTCAGATATATTTAATTTCCTGATATACATAGTTTACGGGAGTAAAATTATAAACGAGAAGAATCGATCCAGAAATATTGCATTTCCATATCGAATAATTTCGCAACGTCACTATTTAGTACTTGTCATAACGTTGAAACACTGAAATTGTCAAATCTGGAATCGAATTAAAATTCCGAGTATAGTTTAGCTCCGACGCTGTCAGACTGTCAGTCGCGAACGTATCAAAACGTTAAGTTTCAAACCGCGCTGCACCACTTTCAAACTATGGCATTTTAATTTTTTTTTAATTCCCGTCCGTGAGATGAGACCGCGCGCGATGCAACATCCCTCCGCCGAGCACCGAATGGACTGGGCCATCCGCCGGCAGAGGCCGCTGCCCGCGAAATTGGCGCAATTTCGACGCATGCGCGGTGCATTTGCGAACCGGCGGGACCCGATGCGACCCGACGCCCCTCGCTTGATAGAAAAATCGAGGACGTAATGTGACGTCAAGCACTCGTACACAATGTGGGTTAATCGTACGTAACAAAAACAACATTTGGAGCTGATGATAACTCGGCATTGCATCTTCTTGAATTACGTCATCGTGATATACCTAAGGTAACATTGTTTTCCGTCTCTGTCTTCGCACCCTTATCATTCTCTCCGGCTGCTTCCATTATTCTTACAAGGAAAAAATACAAATCTCTTTCCTTATTCCCGATGGAGGTAGGAGATTGTTTTGAATATTCGACCGGCCTGTTGGGCTCGCTACGGCAAACGAAACTCCATTACGTTTCTTATGGGTTTCCCGGGGATTGGAAGATAGTGCGAAGAGGTGCTTCAGCCTATCAAGATTGAGATTATGGAGGCGATTAGTACTACCCAATAAAATTGTATCTAATCGTAAAAAATAAGGCTTTCTTTCCGTCATTAGGTTTCAGATATCGTAATAGGTTCCGACCCTAAGTAAATTCAAGATAATTTTCCTCATAGCCCGGGGACAAGTAGCTAAGGGTCGACTTTACTGCAAATAACAATTTCTGTGAATTTATATAACGCTTTCTTTAATTACTTTAAAGGTCAAAGTTACTCAAAAGCGTCACTTAAATAAACTTTTCTCAAAGAAAGAGTTAACATTTAGGATAATAAAGAAAATGGAACTTACTAATTAAACGCCTGATAGAAATGTCAAGGCAAACTTACATTAACGAGTGTTGCGACATTGCGTTTAGGGGTTTCAAAGGAACTTAGTATAACAAGAACTGGGCCATGGAAGGACGTAGATAGTTTAAGTAGTTTCTAAAGCTTAAATTCTCGTAAACAGTGGGAATTTGCATATGGAGGTCGCTAATTTGCTTTCAGTCTTTTTGTAGAAGGGGAATGGCAGAGTTGCTAAATTGCAGTGTTAAGTTTATTAAAGCAGTGTGCATACATTTCGCCCGTATTTATTCAGAACGTGTAAGCACGTTAGAGAGAAACTTTGGGCTTTGTAGTTACCTAAATAAATACATGAATAAATTTAGTATTATTCCTGTATATTCATACCAGATTCAACTTATATACTTAGTAAAGGAGTTTTAAGTAACTGTTTTGTCGAATGATCTGGTGGCAAGTCCGACTGCTGAGAAAGAGGTATTGTCTCGATTCATAGGCCTACCTATTGTATTTAGATTTTTCGAAATTTTGTAATAGAAGAGGCCTTAACTGACCAGAGAAATGGGACAGCCCCATACTGGGACATTGGACACGCCTGCATGTTATTGTGGCATTTTTTTTTTGTTTAAGGAGGGAAAATCATCGAATGACTGCTCCCGCCTGGGTGAGGCGGGAGGGAGTGTCAGACTCTTACTGACTAAAAACCACCCCGTTCCTTCTCCTGCACGTCGAGCCGGAGCCCCGGTTACCCGTTAGGTTCTCCGCGACTCCGAATGTTATTGTGGCATAAGATAGTTATGTTTTAATAGACTATGACTTTGTAGACTGCACTGTTGGTGCGGTGGCTGGGCAACCGGCTACCGTGAAACATGTCGCGGGTTCGATTCCCGCATGGAACAACACTTTGTGTGATCCACAAATTGTTGTTTCGGGTCTGGGTGTGATGTGTATGTGAACTTGTAGGTATGTTTGTAAACGCACCCACGACACGGGAGGAAATCCTAGTGTGGAGCAACAATTAAGAAAAAAAAAATAATAACTGGTAATTTTTAAGTATTAACACTAGTATTATAAGTTGTTTGTTTATTACAAACCAAATGGATTTTAGTTGTCCACAATAAAGAATTAATTTAAACTGTGCTCGATATATGGCAATAGGCTCACCATGTATAACATGAGTCTCATAACATAACTGTTGAAAAGTGGGGGACCTACACCTCACACCTCTACCTAAACCTTAACGAATTAAAAGGCGTCATTATAATCCTACTAATATATTAAAAATGCAAAAATTTGTATGTTTGTTTGTTTTTCCTTCACATCAAAACGACTGAAGGGATCGAGATCAAATTTGCAATAGGGGTAGATTATGATGGAATATACGGAATACCTTATAGGCTCATATCCCACGGAAACGCGAGTGAAACCTGGTAGAATAACTATATTAGCTGTCTATTGTTCATCTATATATATATAAATGAAACCCGTTGTCGCGCCATAACTTGAGAACGGCTAGACCGATTTGGCAGATTTTTTTTGTTGTGTTTATTTACTGTCAGGAGAAGGTTCTTATGACAGAAAATCCTATGGGAACTGGAGAAAACGGGATTGCGCATACGAAGCGGGCAGAAGCTAATACATAATAATACCTAAAACACAGATAAATAAAATTATAATATCTATGAACTAAAACTATCATAGTACAACGTTGCACAGACCGCGTTGTAACCTTGTTGACACGAACCAGATTATTAGCAGTGATATGAAACAGCCGTATTTCATAATAAACGGTGCAAGGAGTGGCTAGCCCTTCTAAATTCTTAGTATAATTGGTAGAAGGTAACATTAAGCAGGTATTTGACAGTTTAATGTATTGAAATTAGTCAACTTTGTCTAAGACCTGGCGCTTGGGTTTCTAGTCACTTCCCGATACGGAGTCGCGGAAAGCCTAACTGGTTGCCAGGGCTCCGGTTCGACGTGCAGGAGAAGGAACGGGGTGGTTTTTAGTCAGTAAGAGTCTGACACTCCCTCCCGCCTCACCCAGGCGGGAGAAGTCTTTGGGTTTCTGGTCACGTGATGCAGATACATAGAAAAATATTTACTGGATTATATTATGTACAGTTTTGATAATGTTATGTCAGTCGATTCTTAAAAGGGTTATGTGTCTTTGAGATTATTAATGTGTAATATTTTTTTTCTTTTTTTTTATACCTTGCTACTTAGCATTCTGTTTTTTGAAATAATAATCAAATATTTTTCAAGGTCCGCTATACTGTTTTTTAAGTGTCTGATTCGCATAATTGTCATCGATGAATCGAATCTGTAATAGTGTAAGTTTCAGACAATTGGTAAACGCCTAAAACAGTAGTCTTACTGTATTATAGGTGCCTATTATACACAAAATTACATAGGTACAGTCTATCCAAAACCAGATGCAGAATACTTTTAACCAGTGAACTTTAACGACTACATACAAGTTTGATTAAAGCGAAAGAAGTCGAGAAAGATCGAATTAGGAGTTCAATAGTCTCCGTCATACATAAGTATTAAAAAAAAAACGTACAACGTGTTAAAACGAGACGAACAGACAAGGACAAAGGTGTGAGTTTCATCTTCATCATCATCATCAACAGCCTATAAATGTTGCATATATATAACTGCTGAGCAAAGCCTCTTCTCAAGGCAAAGGTTTGAGCATTAATCGCCAGGCTTGCTCAATGCGGCTTGGCGATTACAACCTGATAATTAGAAATTATAAGCCCAGGTTTCCGCACGATGTTTTCCGTCACCGTTTGTCAGTGGTATCTAGATAATCTTAGAAAGTGCATATAACTCGGAAAAAGTCGAACCGGCACCATGCATAAGAAGCCTTAAAATGTGTTAAACCTCCGCCACCACGACATGGTGTGGGTTTACATAAGTATTATAACCAAAAATTATCACCACATCACGCCTTTTATCCCCGAAGGGGTAGGCAGAGGTGCACATTACGGCACTTATTGTCACTGTATAATGTAACACCCATTTTTCACTATTTATGTTATGAGTCCCATGTAGTAGGGGGTGAGTCTATTGCCATATACCGGGCACAATTCCAGACTCCGTGCTACTACTGCGAATTTTTAAAAATTACATATAGGTGAGTAGGTACTAAACACTTATATAGGCTTTATAGGCTTAGTTTCATATATCATTTATATTCATACATACCTACATTATAGATAGGCTTTTTTTTTTTAAGGGGGGAAAATCATCGAATGACTGCTCCCGCCTGGGTGAGGCGGAAGGGAGTGTCAGACTCTTACTGACTAAAAACCACCCCGTTCCTTCGCCTGCACGTCGAGCCGGAGCCCCGGTTACCCGTTAGGTTCTCCGCGACAACATTATAGGCTTAGTTTCATTACAACTATACTCGTAACCGCTAGACCGACCGACACAAAGACATCACTCCACATTAAACCAGGATCGTGCTCACTTTATTCGTAGTGCCTAACAAGCCGTGCATACTTATAGTGCTATAAGAGGTA